TACGATATAATGAAATAAATTACGTTATACATTTGAAAATTCCAATATTAAGTGTATTCATAAGAATAACGTAGAAACGTTAAAGGCAGGCAGGGCAGAGCCCTAGGAGAGTATTCTTAAGGAGAATAAGTGAACTGTTGTTGTTTGCTTGTTTATAAACAAAATTTGATCAAATTTGGAAAATGTATTTATTTATACTATACTGTCAAAATTGAACTATAAAAACACCTTACAGCCTTCCCTGTAGCAGCATACATAAAAACTCGTTAAACTAATGTTATAGTAATAGAGAATAAATATTTCATTTTTAAGGAGATATTTTATTGACAACACAGTCAGACTAAAGTAAAGTAGCTTTTAGTCTGCATGTTCGTTGTGGCGGGTGTAGTTATAGTTCCGTAACGGTTTTGCAAAGTATTACCAGTAGTGGATTCACTAACGATCTCAAATACACGCCTGATATGTTGTCATTGTGTATCACCGCTATTTTTCTGCATTGTTCAAATAATCCTCAAACGAATCAGTTTTATTATTTCAACCTATGTAGGTACGATATGTGATCGTAGGATACGATAGACTGCACATTGTGAAAAAGGTTTAGTCGAGCAGGATCCATTTACACATACCGTAATTAAATAATCCATAACAATTTGACTGCTCTAGTGCAGTTGTTTCGCCACGAAAACGTTAAAATCTAAGGCATCTGTTTGCTTCATTTTGTTAGTTTATCCATGTTAGAGGTTGACGACTGATACGTTCAATCATTGAAAACCAAGGACAAACCCCCAGACAAAAACACTCCACATATTTCGTTTCTATAAACCATTAACAAATTTTGATTTCAGCCGCAGCTCCATATTGCAAATGTATGCTTTGAAGATTCAAATGAGCCAAAAACAATGGACAGCTAATTACTATTGAAGGGCACTAAAAATCACTTAAATATGGCAGTTTTAAAATGAGACTTAATTAACTTTTCTACGACATTTAGCAACACGTATATTGAACAAAAGCTGTAGATTTGAACCGTCCGTTTGGGACACGGTGTATCCAGGTCCCATAGGTTTTAATTTTTTATTAATAGGGTATCCAGCAAACATTTACAACGACCAAATAAACATGCAATTAAATTTCCGAATTTATAATGTACAATGTGTTTCGCGGACTATGAGTCACTCAGCACAGTGTATTAGTAACAGTGTGTTAGAAAGAAGCCTTGTAACAATAAGGCGTATTCACGGCATTTCTGTTTTAGGACGCTCATTCAGAGTTTACCAACCGAGCGAGACTGAGAATTTGATGATCCTGGTGTACAGTCTATTCAAAAACTAAAAGTGTCCAGGTTCGTCGTTTGCGTGCAACGTTACCCTTGGACACTTTTGAATGTGTCCAGTTTCGTCGTGTCGTGCAACGCCACCCCTGGACAAATTAAAAACTTGTCCAGGTTCGTCGTTTGCATGCAACGTTAAACTTGGACACATTTGAATGTGTCCAAGGGTAACGTTGCACGCAAACGACAACCCTGGACAACTTGAAAACTTGTCCAGGTTTGTCGTTTGCATGCAACGTTAAACTTGGACACATTTAAATGTGTCCAGATTCGTCGTGTCGTGCAACGCCACCCCTGGACAACTTATAAATGTGTCCAGGTTCGTCGTTTGCGTGCAACGTTAAGCTTGGACACATTTGAATGTGTCCATGTTCGTCGTTGTCTGCTTTTATCGTTGTCTGATTGAGGCGGTGTCTGCTTTTAACGTAGTCCACGTTTAACGTTGTCCAACTTCGACATCGTCCCAACATTTTACTGTGGAGAGCTTTTTCCGAGATAGGGGAATCAATGATGTGGATCTAACCCGATGGTTCGCTGGCAGGCCCATCGCAGTGTATGCTACCCATCAAATTAAGGTATATTGTGGGATCACCTCTTCAACATATTATCAGCAAGTTGACAATATAAACTCCACGGATACAGTGGGATCAAAAAGAAATTCATCAAATGGTTCCAGTGTCACGACCCATTTACTGAAAATATCTCGCTCATGTCAATCAGCTCAGCAGTTATCCCATATGATAGCATCAACGCGAGATATGTATAAAGCATAATGGAAAGGCACATCTTGCAAGAAAATCGTAAATAGGCAAGCCTATAATGACCATAAACTGTGCAGAATAAAAGGAAGTGGTGACATTAATAGCGAGCTGTGATGGCAACAGCAAAAGATTGAAGAAGAATCTGCCCCCTCAGTCAACACGTGATATTCCACATTAAATCCAAGCCTCAATTTGAATCATACTTTGGATTAAAAATAGGTCCGTACCCACTAGCGCAGTTTGATGAAGAAAGCGTGATGTAGAAGAGTCGAAAATCTAACTATTCATGTAGCCTAAAACTACTCATGCTGTTTACTCCAATCAATGTGGATCTCACTGTGTTCTAACGGGTTACAACGCTTGGCGAAGTTGCAGAAGCAGGTTGGCCCTATACATGGTTGGGAGCAGAAAATATCCAAATCAAGTGAGGGTTGGTCCCTTCTAGAGGACACTTTCAACTAATTTTGACTTTGATTCTAACAAAAGGGGCTGCTCATCCACCAATCCTTTAGAGCTCATTTAAAATTGTACTTAATTCAGAGAGATAGGTATGGAAAATTAACGTCAATGGGTTAACTCCCATCACTACGGCTAATCCACCGGTTCGACAAGAACTTCTCAACTCCGTCTACCTATCTCGACCATCGTGTACATGTTAAAAAGGTTTACATTTTCTCGCTCCATATGAAATGCAGGGATATAATGCACTACTGTCTGAAAGACTTGCAAGGGGCAAGATTATCTCAATTCGATATCTGACGAAAAAGATGGTACCGAATGTCACCATTTGTGGCAAGACCAATAAGAGCAAAGAATGAATTCTTATTCTTAAGATTCCAATGATGAGAAGTAGAAAAGTTATATGGTAAGATCTACGAAAAATCCCAATCGTTTTTTTTAATAGGCTAAATACATAGTAAAACTATGTACATCCGTCCCATTATCATCTTTCGTTTATTAGCTAAAAAATAACATTTTTGCTATATTTAATAAAATCTTTCTCGTTGTAATATCTTATTATATATTAGAATCACTTAACATCATTCGGGAGTGTCCAGAGATGGGATCGTATAAATGGGAGCTTAGGACGAATCCTAGAATTTTTGTAACCCCCTCAACAATATTAGGTTTAAAATTGCATAGGGGGTCTTGCTACCCTTCCCTTCACACATTCTTGGATAAACCTCTGGATGATAACCATGAAATAAACTACTATCTAGTCATTCATAATCATAAATCTACGCCGAATTTTGTGTTTTCCAAACTAACTACAGGCGCATTTTTGTATAGCATGCGTCGTTTAGGAGTTGTAAGTCGAAAACTGGTCAAATAATCAACCTTTAGGCCATGTTGATGAAAATATCCCAACTTTGAAAAGCTACAGCGGCTAAACGGCTCGGCCGATTTTGACGTATTTAACATCAATCGACGCGGAATTTAATGCACTAAAAGACACCTTTGAACAACATTTTCCTTAGGATTCGTTATTTAGGAGTTATAAGCGAAAAACTGAAAAAAGTGCAAAATTTTCATAGTTTTTCGACTCCCAAAACTTAAGCAGACGTAAGAATCTGTCGCAAACTCACAGGAGTCTTATTTGGGACCCCCAAAAGGTATTAAAACACTTTCCAGCTTTAGACGATTTTTTGGGGAGCATATGTCTAATTTGCCTGGGCTATTGTGGTACAGTGTTTGGAATTATTTTTTTTTAAGTTTGAGTAAGCTGTGATTTCAAACGTTAGTTTTAGCGAATTCCCCTATAGGGAAGTAGCTATTACCGTAGGTCTCATGGTAAGACCTAAGCCCGGGACCGATTTACTTTTTCATTTTGATGTCCCCAGAGGCCAAAAACACCATTCGTTCAAATTTTTATATAAATATATATGTGTCCATCCGCACGATAACTTGAGTAATTTTTGTCCGATTTTGATAATATTTGGTTTGAAGGTGTAATTCGGGATAAACTTGAATGAGTTCGCAAACCAGCATGATCGGACTATGGGAACGGGGGTTTATGGGGGGTTTTATGGGGTAAAAATAGGTTTTTCCCATTTTTGACCCTAAAAACATAAAATTTCACAATTTCTTTTTAAACCATTTTGTAGAGCTTAAAAAAACAAATAATTTAGTATATTGAAGCGTTATTATGCGCATAATTGTTAAGGAGAAAATTCAAAAAAATTGTAATTTTAAAATTCCCATGTTATTCTTATGGAGAATAAGTCAACTGTTGTAGTTTGCTTGTTTATAAACATATTTTGATCGATTTTGGAAAATACTTTTATTTCTTACTAAATTATTATCATTTTATAAAAAAATCTTTTTTTACCCTCCCTGTTGCAGCAAACCTAAGTACTCGTTAAACTAATTCTATTTAAATAGGAAATAAATGTGCTATTTTTATGGAGGCATTTTAGTGTAAATCCAATCAGGTTAATGGAAATTCGCTTAGTCTGCAGGTTTGCTGCGGCGGGGGTATTTATTACTACTGAACCAAGGTTAATGACTTAAAATATCACGATTGCGCAGTAGCCTACTAATTATATTTTGATGATGTAATATTCAAATTATCATATTAACGTCCATTTATTCAGTTTTAGGCTTTTTATGGGGTTTTTATATCATTTTGGATCAACCGTGGTTTCAGTTATCCGTGGTCTCCCTCCCCCCATTACCCCGGATAATCGAGGTTGTACTGTAACCAGTTAGATTAGAGGCCATGCATAAAACTTGTAAGCTACTATTTACTGTGATGAAACGTTGATGCACATTTACTCTCATTCTTTTTATATAGACAGCTCCATAAAACATTGTAAATTTGGAAAACAAAAAAAGATTTTATTTGTTGGGATTGCAAACCCATTAAAGGAAACACACCAAAAAGGTACATAAAAACTTGAGTACAGAACCTTCTTTTGGACGTTGGCCACCTGGAGATAGTCCTCTAGCTGGTGCAAGAAGACTCCCAAGTGAGGAGCACATCCCACCTGGTCCGACCTCATGCACAACACAGCCTTAGCCAGGTACGTGATGCGCTGCTCTAGGTTCAAGTTTTCTCTACAGATAAAAAAGAGCACCTTGTACTTGTTGTCTTATAAAACAAAAAGATATAGTGTAGTAAAAACATCAATTATTTCAATTCGGGGATGAAACACAAATGGTGTCAGATTAGCTTGTTGGAATTTTTCATCATTTTAGCGAATTTCCCATATAGGGAATAAGCTATTACCGTAGTACTCATGGTAAGACCTGGACCCGGGACTGATTTACTTTTTCGTTTTGAGGTCCCTAGAAGCCAAAAACACGAACCATTCAAATTCATATGTATGTGTGTGTGTGTGACCGTTAACTAGAGCAAAAATGATCCGATTTTGATGAAATTTGGTTTGAATGTGTACACTTACATTTATTCAAACGAGTTCGCAAACCAGTATGATCGGTCAATGGAAACGGGGGTTTATGGGGGGTTTTATGGGGTAGAAATAGGTTTTCCCATTTTTGACGCTAAAAACACAAAATTTCACAATTTCTTTTCAAACCATTTTGCAGAGCTTAAAAAGACAAATAATTTAGTATATTGAAGCATTATAATGGTTACGGAGAAAATTCCAAAAAATTGTAAATTTAAAATTCCCATGTTATTCTTATAATGGAGAATAAGTCAACTGTTGTAGTTTGCTTGTTTATGAACATATTTTGATCGAATTTGGAAAATACATTCATTTCTTATGTCGTTACACAACATTAAGGTCACTGTACAGTCTGTGATAATGTTGGATGAACTATTAACATTTTACAACAAAAAACATTTTTTTACACTCCCTGTTGCAGAAAACCTAAGTACTCATTAAACTAATTCTATTTAAATAGGGAATAAGTGTGATATTTTTAAGGAGGCATTTTAGTGTAAATCCAATCAGGCAAAAGAAAATTCGCTTAGTCTGCAGGTTTGCTGCGGCGGAGGTATTTATTTATTTTACTTTACTTTGAAAACATCACTTATGCAAGGGCATAAAGACAGGGGAAAACCAGTTTAAAGTTAAAACTCAAAGTTCACAACAGTGTCGTATTAGGAATATAACAAATGAAAGAGTTTAGGAATATTACCCAGGAGTTTTGGCAAGAGAATACAGAATCTGAGCAGCAGCTGAGTGGTTGCCCTGTCTCTCGTGATACTTCCACAGCAGGTCAGCAAACTCGCCTGCGTCTCTTCGAGCTGGGTTGGAAGTAGCCTTCTTGAGGTAAAGCTCCAAACTGGGTTTAGCTACTGCTATAAGGTCACCGTACAATCTGTGAGCCACTAGCCACTCATACACTTCCATGTGCAACAGCTGATCATTGGACTCCATGCACATCTCCACTAGGTCTTCAACCTCCACCTGACATACAGTATCAACATGGTCTACATAGTAGAAACTATAGTCCGTTCACAAAACTTATGCGATCTGAGGGGAAGTTTCCCCACTACTTTTGATTGACATTGTGGCAAACCTCAGCTGCTGTTGAGCTATTATTTTAAAGGTTTAGTAGACTCTCAGTAATCCAGCAGATACAGGACCGTGATACTACCGGATTAGTAAAAATGCCGGATTACTGGAATGTTATCAATAAAATGCTTAAAATGCACTTAAACGCGTCTGTGAAGATCACGCGATCGGAAACCGCTATTGCCATGACAAAGAGAACTTTACCGTAATCGTGGGAGACGATGATACTGTCTAAACGGCCGGGGAAGATGTTCATGATTTTGCCACGATCGCGCTAGACGACAATGACGTTTCCGTGACCGCGGGAGTGGATGATGATGTTCACACAACCGCGAGATGATAACATTTTTGCTGTGATCTTGGAAGATAACGATAATGTCCAAACGGCCGCGGGAGATGTTCATGATTTTGCCAAGATCGCGCAAGACATCGATGACGTTTCCGTGACCACGGGAGTGGATGGTGATGTTTACACGGCCGCGAGAGATAATCAGATTTTTACCGCGATCGAGGAAGATAACCATGATGTCTAAACGGCCGCGGGAGTGGATGACGATGTCTACAAGGCCGTAGGATATAACCAGAATTTTGCCGCAATCACGGAAGACCACACCCGTCAAAAGACGCTGGATTACTGGAGAGCCGGAGTGGCACAGTGTTGGATTAGAGAGGGTCTACCGTATGATCAAGTGAAAGGGATAGATTTCTTCCCCTACAATTGCCCAAATTTTGTGAACAGAACAGGGTATAAGTTTAAGATTAAATACACAACATTAAGGTCACTGTACAGTCTGTGAACCAAAAACCAATTTTTTTACATTTGAACACTTGTATGAAAATTGCACTTGGATTGCATAATAAAACGTCAATGAGGAAGAAAGTCCCTCACTGTCCTCAGCGAGCAACGACTTTAGTTGATTAAATATTTTGTCGATATATTCAGTCCCCATTATTTATTTTTGTTGATGTTGAGTTCCATGCTATTTATTACTTGATGATTTTTCTTTTATTATCTATTGATATTGTTATCTTGTTTTAAGTTAGTATAACTGTTTTGGTGATTCTTTTTAACTGCAGTTGGTATGTATAAAAATAAATCTTGCCTTAAGGTGTACTTGCCTTGGTAACGTCATCTCTGTGTGAAGGCTGGAAAGGGGGGGACCCTGGTCTGGTGGGGATGGAGTAGGAAGTAGAGGAACTCTTGTGGCGCAGATGGTCCAACACTGCAGTAACCTCCTTGTAGCAGTCCAATCTAGCCAATTGGAAGGATAGTTAATAATAAAAATGCAGATTGGAACCATATTTTAAGTTGTATATTCGTATTAGAGGGAAAAATGATAGGAAAAATCCCTTGCCCACCTTTTTGGTCTTTCACATGTCGTTCCAAAACTTCCATCTAAGGTTCAACAAGCTATCTCGCAGAAGTTGTTTGATTATGAAAATAAGTCACTAAGTCTTGTAAACATAATTATATTTTTATTAAATTCATAAATTTCATTCATGATCATATTTAAAAAAATTCGTATTCGGCCCATTTAAAACCATTATATTAATCTGAAGTAAATCAAATATTACAATTTTCTAATACAAAGAGACATGTAGACTCGTCGGTGCCATTCTACATGTCTCTTTGTATTAGAAAATTGTAATATTTGATTTACTTCAGATTAATATAATTGTTTTAAATGGGCTGAATACAAATTTTTTTTTAAATATGATCTTGAATGAAATTTATGAATTTAATAAAAATATAAATATGTTTACAGTCTAGCTGAAAACACATTCATAAATGTGGAAATCTTTTAAATACAGAATAATAAAACAAACCACATTAAAAAAATGTATCTCTTAACTTTATTCCTTGAACAAGTCAACATTTTATCACTCATTACATTATCAACAAAAATTATCACTTATAATTTTGTGAAAGCCCCTGATGTGTGAGCTGTGAAGAGGAGACGAAAGACACATGTCACAACCTCAAAAACTCAGCTCTCCTGTGAACTGTAAACACTGATTATCAACTTTTTTGTAGGGATAGACAAGTCCCGAAATTTCAGAAAATTTTTGGAAAAAAAATATTTCTGATTTTCAGGTCGGGATTACATTTGATTTGAGAATTTTTCAGGACGGGATTTGATCCGATCGTCGGCGATTTAGCCGCTTCGCCAGTGACAATGACACCGCAATCACGAGAGATTTCCACGATAGTTCCGCGAAAGCAGGAGGCGAAGTCATTTCGACAATCCCGCAATGACCGCGAGTTATACCGACGATCACACCGTGACTGCGAGTCACAAGTTTCTGTACCTGTAAATTTTTACCCATTCTTTGTTTTATAAATCAGTGCCCACAAATGGTAAAAATTGATTTTGTTTGTCTTTTTTTTGTAACTGCAATATTCAAGACTTTCTTTTTATGCACAGGAAAAAATCCCGTGACGTCCCGTCCCAAAAATCGGGAAGGAAATAAAAATCCCATCCCGTCCCAAACTAAAAATTCAATCCCGTCCATCCCTATTTTTTTGGTTCATCCTGATCCTATGAATGCACCCAACTAAGAATGAACCCAAAGTATTGAAAGCCACCATTATAAAAGTCATTTGTAAATTAAACTCAATTACATGTTAATACAGTAGACTCCCTCTTAACCGGACTACTCGGAATCGTGGCCAGTCCAGATAATGGTTTTTCCGGTTAAACTGACGTCCCTAAAAACTCGTTAAAATGGACCGTTTACTGAGATATTCGACTAAAATTTAAGAGCATTGTATTTAGACACTTGATCACTGGTCTCAAATCTTTCCCACGAGAACGACGTTTCAGTACCGCCCACTTCCTGCCCATCTAGTCTGGTAAAACCAATGTGCTGATAAAAATTGCCGACTTACGAGCGTTACTCGTACGGCCGCTGCAGGTCCGGCGGCCGACTTACGAGTGCCGCTCGTGTCACCGCTAGGCAGCGCCATTTGTTATTTAGTTATTATTATTTTTCGCCCTTTTTGTTTCTTCTTACTATTATAATGTTTATAAATATCTTGCTTTTTGATTTGCGTATTTACTCATTTATTTTAGCGAATAACAAACAATTTTGTGTTGCCATGGAAACCACATATCACCAAAAATCAGCTGCGGTAAGGTAAACAAACAATTTAAAAAAAATGTTATTACTTATAAAAGTACACAACTTTTGATTTTTCTATGTAGGGAATCGATGGAACTATATAAAAGTAGTGTTATTTGGTGTCTGGATTAATCTTGGAATTTGTATATCAAGTTTACTTTCAAAATATTGTTTTTAAAATTTTTATTTTTATAATCTTTATATATATATTTTTTTTAGTTTAGAACTTTGACTATCCAATTACCACTTTTCTGTAGACAATTTTACTGTGAACAAAATGGTGAAAGAATTATTAATTTATTACCTAAGGTTTTCTTTCTATAGCAGTTAGAGTAAAAGTCTACAAATTCGGTAAAATTAATTGCCGCCAGAGGGTGCTGCCAGGTAGCGCATTAATTCCTTCCCCAATGGGTTAAAGAGATGTCATTTCCGCCGAGTGTAATCCGGTTAAACCGATGTCCGGTTAAAAGGTGTCCGGATAATAGGGAGTCTACTGTAATAATAACGATTGCTTTGATATAGGTTCATTCTTATTGGTAGTGAAGTCTGGATTTACTTAGGCCAAACATAAAATCAGCAGTGTCCATCAGCAGGAGGTTAGGTCAGCACTCTCCTCTTGTCCATAAAACACTTTATTTAGTAAATTTATTTACTTATAAACCCTTTTTTAAGGTAAATGATCCATTACAGAAACACAAGTTGTAAATAATTTAGAAAGAAAATCATGCCGTGCTGCATCGAATCGAATCACATCGATTCAAATCGTATCACATCAATTTGAATCGAAGTTCTTTTAATCGCATCATGTCATCAAATCAGAAAAAAAATGCTGCATTGCACACCCCTATACGTTTATGATTTTCTACCAACTTCAAAATCAAGCATGCAGTGACATGAAACACTGTGACTCACGTCTCGTTGCCGTCGGAGCACTTCCGTTCAGTGTTCAGTTGACTTTCGGGAGGTGCAGTACACTTTCCCGGTGCAGTGGTATTTTCTTTGTTAGTAAGTGCAAGTGTTCGTGTACAGTAGTTGTGTGAAATGGCTAGTACAAGTGGTGTTAAACGGAAACACAAAACTTTAACAATATTGGAGAAGTGGGAGATTATTAAAAGAATAGATAGCGGTGAAACGCCGACTGCAGTAGTGAAATTTTATGAAATCGGACGGCCTACGATTTATGATATAATGAAGAATAAAGAAAAAATTGAAGGGTTTTTGAAGTCCTTTAAACAGGAAAACCCTGAGAACAAGCGAGTTTCCTGAGGTGGAAGAAGCACTGTTCATTTGGTTTAAACAACAACGCACACGGAATGTTCCTATTTCTGGAGACATACTTAAACAAAAAAGCTCAATATTTCTACACAGAAATAACGAAGAAGAATGATTTTTGAGCTAGTCATGGATGGTTCGAAAACTTAAAAAAACGCCACGGTATACGGTTTATGAAGATGTGTAGTGAAAAGGTATCTGCTGACAAGTCTGAGATTGATGCGTTCATTGAAATGTTAGACAACAAAATTACTGAGCTTGGTTTAGTTCCCGAGCAACTGTACAGCGCAGATGAAACCGGGTTGAATAGGCGACAGCTCCCGGCAGAAACATTTGTAAGTGATGAGGAAAAAAAGTGTCAGGAAGGAAATTGCAAAAAGAACGACTCACGCTTATGGTGTGTGCTAATGCATCAGGCACTCATGCTTTAAAACTGCTTGTTGTAGGAAAATCAAAAAACCCTCGAGCATTCAAAAATGTCAAGGTTGAATCTCTGCCAGTAACTTACAAGTCACAAAGTCGCGCTTGGGTCACAAAAGAAGTTTTTCATGACTGGTACACTAACAGCTTCGTTCCACAAGTTAAGGCTGAATTAAAGAAGAACAAGTTACCAATGAAAGCCCTTCTTTTACTGGATAATGCACCAGAACATCCTGATGCTGATGAATTGAAAATAAAAACTGCTGATGGCTACATTAAGGCTATGTACCTACAAAAAAATACCACAGCTTTAATCCAGCCCATGGATCAAAATGTGATAAAAACTCTCAAGGCTCACTACAAAAAGCGCATTCTTATGGATGTTGTCAGTCAACCTGATGCTGATATTGCAGCGATTTTGAAAGCTTTTAACATTAAGGACGCCATTTTGAACGCTGCATATGCTTGGCAACAAGTAAAAACCATAACTTTGATCAAATCTTGGAAAAATTTATGGCCTAACAATCCATGTCTTACAACATGTAATCCTACATCCAGCAGCGATCCAGAACCCGTTGTGGAGGCTACATTGGAACTTTGTAACGAAGTGCAACTTGCCCCCGCATCAGTTGAAGAGCTTAGAACATGGATCATGGAGGACAACCTTGATGCTGACGTGACAGATGCAGATATAATCCAGGAAGTTACAGCAGCTGATGACGACGTGATCGAGGACGCAGCGCCAGAAAATCCCTTCACCGTCAGCTGTGATGAAGCTGTATCGGCAGCTAATACTTTGTTACGTTGGTGCCAAGAGAGAGATGTGGACATGACAAAAATTTTAGTTTTTAAAGGATTGCAAGAAGCAGCAATGATGGACTGTGTACAAAAAAGAAGCAGAAGTCAATCACAGACTTTTTCAACAACTAAATACCGTGCTGAAACACATATGTATCAATTTTACAGGGGCCTACTTTTTTAATGAATTGTGTACTTTTATGCGTTTTTTTTGGGATGTACGTACAGTACTGTGTAATTGAAATGCCCGTCTTATTTGTAACACTGTAAAATAAGTTTAGCTACATAAATTAAAATTGTGTTTCCTTTATTCTGTGTTTTTAATTCTTCACAAGAATTTAATGGTGATTAATACATTGTTTAAAATGATAGTTATATCTTTTTGGCAATCAAATGCATTACAGAATAGCCATTTTTGATAATCCGACGTTTTTGGTAATCCAACACTACGTCAGTCCCGTACCTGTCGGACTAACGAGAGCGGGCTGTATTATCTTTTGAAATATTTAAGCTTTCCGGGACTTTTTTCCCCACCCAGTATAAAAAAGGGCTTTTGAGGGAAATTAAAGTTATATAATTTTGTCATGGATTAGAAACACTTTTTTCAATTGTATTCGGATCTTTCTACTCTACTTCGTACCTTTGTGCGTATGCCTGATAACCCAAGGTGTCATCCCCAGGCTGATTGGTCATGTAGTAGTGAAGAGCAACGTCCTTCGGGTCACATTTGGCAGCACACTCCAACACCAGTTCCACAATCCCTATTAACATTAAGCATATTTACACTTTACTCTACATGGATATAAATGTATACTAGTAAATAATCCTAGCTTTTGGTCTAGTGATCAGGATTTCTGTCAAAAAAATTGAATTCTTACACAATTCTTTTTGGGAAGTGACATTGTATTAGAGATGTTTTGCGCAATTGCGGCAAAATCATGAACATCTCCTGCAACCTTGTAGACGTCATTATCGTCTTCCGGGGTCAAGGAAACTTCATCTACGTCTTGCGCAATGGCGGTAATTTTGGTAAATATGGTATCGGTATCGACTTTTGACGTTCGATTCTCGATACCGATACTCAATGTCCAAGTATCGCTGGTATTGAGAATCGACACATCCCTACCTACATAATATTAAACAAGATTAATGTGTAATCTTTTTTTGTTGTATAAAATTTGAATTGTGTGAAATATGTGTGGGATGAATATTGAAAATACCAAAAAAGCTATTCAAAGTGAATTTAAGTCCTGTATTGTTTAATGATGACAGGTACACATTTTAGTAATCTTTTACAATTGGAAAGACTTTTTGGTCTGGTTTTTATTGGCATCTGTATTACATCAGTTGTCCTCCCCGCTCGGATCGCCAGTGTAATCAGCCTACATAGAAACACTCAGATGCTTGGAAGGTCAATAAAGGTTATAAAATATTCTAAATGGTTTTTTGATGTGTGCTCTACTTAGTGGTTGGTCAATGGTCACTGCTATCCACAGCCAACATAGCCTACTTAAATAATTATATCCTGCTAATTAATAATAATTGCAGTTCCTGTGCTATAAAATATACACCGTAATCTTAAAACCAGATTTAAAAACTTAAGCAAGTTAAGAATTATTTTAACCCTTATCGAGCTGCGGCTGCAGGGCGAAGCCCTACTCACTACACAATCAATAATTTGGTTAGGGTTAAAAGATTTTCCACTTCTATCTTACGTTTTAGGTTGATTATAGACACCATTTATATAAAAATAATTTGTATACAAGTTTTATGACCATAATTGTAGCGACGTATATATACGTCCAATGTTCACAAAGGAATGTGTTGAACCGTATACAGGGTGATCAACTCAAGGAGGCCACCATTGGGATATCGGAAACGGTAAGAATTAGAGAAAACTTTAAATGGGGGACATTCCTTTATTTTTTGTGGCAGTTAAAAATATGATTTTATTTTTTTGAAATTCAGCCGCCATTTTCCAAAATGGCGGCCAACTTTGAAATTTCTTATGGAACACCCTATGTTTTATCATGTTTTCGGATAGAACAGGCAATTTAAAAACTTTTTTATTCTTGACATTTTTTCGATAAACCCACTCGTTTAGGAGTTACAGCCTATGGAAAAAAGACTTCCGGTGTACATTTTACATCATGTAGCTCCTAAACAAGTTGGTTTATAGCAAAAATGTGAAAAGTAAATGAGTCAAATAAGTCTTAAAATTGCATCCACATTCCAAAAAGACAAAAAAATACACAGTTTATCACTTTTAAGTTTGCCGCCATTTTTGAAAATGGCCGCCATTTTTTAAATAGGGATGGACGGGTCCCGAAATTTCGAGAATTTTTCGGGAAAAAAATATTCCCGATAATCGGGACGGGATTACATTTGACTCGGGAATTTTTCGGGACGGGATTTGGTCCGATCGTCGGCAATTTTTCCGCTTCGCGAGTGCCGATAACGCCGTTATTGCTAGCGATAGGTCCGCGAACGCAGGAGACGAAGTCATTTCGACGATTACGCCGTGACCGCGGAGTCATAACGACGATCGCGCCGTGGCCGCGATTATTGGACCGACGATCGCACCGTGACCGCGGAGTCATACCGACAGTCACGCCGTGACCGCGGAGTCATAACGACGATCGCGCCGTGACCGCGAAGTCCTACCGACGATCACGCTGTGACCACGAGTCATACCGACGATCACGCCGTGACCGCGGAGTCCTACCGACGATCGCGCCGTGACCGCGAGTCATACTGACGATCGCGCCGTGACCGCGGAGTCCTACCGACGATCGCGCCGTGACCGCGGAGTCCTACCGACGATCGCGCCGTGACCACGGAGTCATACTGACGATCATGCCGTGATGGCGGAGTCATGCTCACGATCGAGCCGTGACCGCGAGTCATGTTGACGATCGCGCCGTGACCGCGAGTCATACCGACGATCGCGCCCGTGACCGCGAGTCATGACGACGATTGCACCGTGACCGTGGAGTCATACCGACGATAACCCCGTGACCGCGGAGTCATACCGACGATAACCCCGTGACCGCGGAGTCATACCGACGATCGCGCCGTGACCGCTAGTCATGACGACGATCGCGCCGTGACCGTGAGTCATACAGACGATCACCCCGTGACCCGCGAGTCACGACCAACCTCATTTTTTGTGCCACAAATGGTAAAAATTGATTTTGTATGTCTTTTTTGGTAACTGCAATACAGTACTTTCTTTTTATGCACAGAAAAAAATCCCGTCCCGAAAATCAGGAAGGAAATACAAATCCCGTCCCGTCCCGTCCCGAACTATAAATTCAATCCCGTCCATTCCTTATTTTTTAATAATAGAATTAATAGTTTGTAACGAATTTTTTGGTCTTTTTGGAATGTGGATGCAATTTTAAGACTTATTTGACTCATTTACTTTTCGCATTTTCACTATAAACCTACTTGTTTAGGAGCTACATGATGTAAAATGTACACCGGAAGTCATTTTTCCATAGGCTGTAACTCCTAAACGAGTGAGTTTATCGAAAAAATTTCAAGAATAAAAAAAGTTTTTTTTTTAGGGTGTTCCATAAGAAATTTCAAAGTTGGCCGCCATTTTGGAAAATGGTGGCTGAATTTCAAAAAAATAAAATCATATTTTTAACTGCCACAAAAAATAAAGGAATGTCCCCCATTTAAAGTTTTCTCTAATTCTTACCGTTTCCGATATCCCAATGGTGGCCTCCTTGAGTTGATCACCCTGTATATACGTCTGGTAAATTTTGTTTAGGAAAAAGTTTTATTTTTATGAACTGTTAAAAAAGTTACTGAAATAAAAATCATGGTAAGAACAAAATGACATATTTATTATTACCATATGACAATAACAGACTTATCTAATCATAATACAATAAAAATATTCATTCTGATCATTCAATCTAAACGTCATTTTCAATAAACAACACAATACATTCTAAAGTACCGATTATTCCACTAATCTAATTCAGGGTAGGGTGTACGCAAATAAGGCTCAAAAAGTTCCCTATATTTCCCGTATTTTTCATGCCGAAAAGACGTTTTTCACGCCTCTCTTATCTAAAGTCTAAGGTTCAGATAAGAGAGGCATGAAAAACTTCTTTTCAGCGTGAAAAATACAGTAAATATACGGGAATTTTTTGAGCCTGATTAAATCATCAATAAAACACATATTTTTATAAATATTGCATATAAAATATTATAGATTATTTAATTAATATAATGTAGGGGTGTGCGAATACTACTTTTTCTTTTCGAATCGAATACGAATCGAATAGAGAGAATTTTGAATAGAACTCAAATTTTTTCAAATGCAATAATTTCTCTCAAATAGTATTTGAATAGTGAACATTTTTTAACCGAATACTAACCCTCAAATAATGAAAACTTGAAATCAATGCCAAGTCAACTCTCAATAACTTAATTACTAAAACTGTTAGTATATTTTTTTCTGAATAAGTGTAGATTGTAAATGTATCTTTGTTTATTTAATTTAGGCCTAGTTTAATTCAATAGGTAACTGAACTAAGATAATAAGTAAAGGTACAAACCTGAACCAAGTTTTATTAGTCAAAATTATAAAGCACTACCAATAACAAATTTTCTTAAACACTTTCAACCAACTGGGTAGTGATAATCATTATAACATTATAACCACATAAAAACGCACATTGTTTTCTTTTACTAAGTAGGGATTTAGGCCTACAACTTACTGTCAGCCCTAAGTTTATGTTTTAAAACATAAACTTTAAAAAGGTATGCCTAAAATAAAACTTGTTGTCATAACTTAACATAGCTTAATCTCATGACTTGGGCTTAGGCTACTGGACAACTAGGTTTGAAGATACAAGAACCTAGGCCCTATTTTTAACCATTTACAGTACCTAGTTTAAATCTTCGATTGAATTAATAAAGCCCCTTTTAGCCTAAATGTAGGCTAACTTAAACTTAGGCATTTTTAGAATGAGTTTATTAAGTTACATAGGAAATGTATAATTATTAACTTTTAAGGACTAACAATCACCACGTGTGGTTACACGAGTTGCATTCTGCAACAGAGCCCTTTTTGATGAAAAAATCCCAAATTAAACTCCTTTACTTATTTTTGAATTCTTGTGATGATGTTGAAGGCACATTTAGGCCTAAATCGGCTTCTTCATCTGAATCCATCTTGTGTCATTCAACCAAACTTAAATGAAGCCTAGGCCTACAACTTTTAGGCAATATCCAACTGTATAAAAGCAACTGTTGTCAAAATATACAAAAATTGTTACTAAGTTTAGCTGAAATACTTAGTGCAGACATGCTAAACAAACTGTCTCTAAACTCCAACCTCAAAACTTCTTGTCTAAACACAGCTTGCGCTATGCAATAGAAAAAAGAAAGAACAGAAATTGTTGAAGTGCGAATTACGTTTTACTCTGGGATCACGGCAAATCTATCTAGCAGACAACATTTGTATATATCATATTTCATGTTTATAAAGGTGACGGTGCGCGTTTTGGTGCCATGTATAAGAGAACTCAGTATAATTTGTTCCGGTATCTTATTCGCCATCACTTTTTCAGTTTTACTTCACTCAAAATAGACACATCAATGTCGTATGCTAGATTTATGTAGGTCTACCGTTATCCCAGAACAAAACGTAACTTGAACCCGATCGCCATCGCCAAGAACAATGAAGGCGGATGAATGCTAACGTAGTGTTTTGCAGCACATAATGAGTTTAATAATGTTGAAAAATAATAAAATAAAATATCTAAGTGAGTTTTAATTAAATATTGTATTGCATTTTTATTTAATCTGAAGCAGCTTAACAGTTTTTATTTATTTTCAAAACAAGTTAGAACGGAACTATTTTACCGACCTTGTTTATTTGGTTAATGGCGGAGGACATAATTTCATCGAAAACTCACAACACGATTACACAATAGTTGAAAATGAAACGTTGTCTGTCCCTCGATAGTCGATAGAAACTGATTACTATTAGTATTTTAGCCCGATGGTAATTTTTTATTAATTACTTGAAACACTTTTTTGGCCAACTTGATTTGTTTTATGCTTTCCAAAGCTCCCAACTAATTATGTGACAAGATGCGAAGTATTCGATAGTGATGTAACGAGTTGAGTAGGCGAGTCGAGTTGACTCGAGTCAAGACCCGAGTTGAGTCAACTCGAGTAATTTCATTTACAACTCGAGTTGGTACGAACTCGTATGGAGATTGCCGAAGCAACACGAACTCGGAACGTAACGAGTCCGACTAGCAAAACTTAAACGCTATTGGCTCACAACTTCAAAGCGAGTCAAGATACCGAACTCATACGGAGAAAGCCAAACCTTTACGAACTCGGGACGTAACGAGTTGACTCGGTTGACTCGCGAAACGTAAACGCTATTGGCTGAATGCGAGTTCAGCCGACTCGCCAAACTATAACCCTATTGGCTGCGCTGCGACTCGACCCAAACTCGAGCGATGGAAGCCGAAGTTTCACGATGATACCGAGTTGAGTCTGACTCGAGTTGCAACTCGAGTTCACATAGTCGTGAGTCGAGTTTGACTTGAGTCAAGAAAATACTCGACTCGTCACATCACTAGTATTTGAAAAGGTCCGAACTATTCGACCACCGTCGAACTATTCAAAAAATCGAATACTTGCAGGTAGAACGAATCAAATCGAATAGTAGTTTTACTATTCGATTCGATTCGAAATTTTGAATATTCGCACACCCCTAATATAATGTTAGGTTTTAGAAATAAGGTTTTAAATAACAGGAATGACATGGAAGAAATTGTAAAAAAAGAAACACGAACACGATCCTAGCAGCCCTGGATGAAACTAACAACTAAATTGTCTTCAGCTGATCGATAGTGTGTTTAATCTATGGTCTAACCTAACATATCCATCCAACTCTACTAGCTGGGCAATGGACATGGCTTGACTGCTTATGCACATACCTGAGTAGCAGTGGCATGTGATTAGCAGACGACAAACTCCTGACAAGTTAATCTGTGGTGCAACTTCCTTCAGCAACTAAACAACACATACCAAACTGATTTAGACAAACAGGTTTTGACTTGTTTGTATACATAAGTAAGAATAGAGCAATTTGAATGTGTAAGAGACTTGCAGGTGGCCATTGGTGCCATATGAAGTCCAAACCTTGTGGTTTTGTTTTAAATGAGTAGAAGTCTACTACAGGGTGTCTAGTTTATTTCAATTTCAAAATTCAAGACTAATTCCAGACTTTTTAAGACTAGTTTTTTCAACAATAAGTAAGTGTAGAGACCAAAATGTATCAATTCTCGATTCTTGATACCGATACCAATTTTTTTTTAGCTTAACAAAATTTTCTCAATAATTTGGTTATAATACACACACCCCCGTCTTTATGTCATAAAGTATTATTAAGATAATGTGTGAGTGTGTCGTATGTAAGTGGATTGAATCCTTGCTTCACAGTAGGAAGGTCAGGCTCTCACTCCATAATGACACATCGAGGCAAGAACTACTCGAGGTTGCCCCCAGGGTGGGGTTCTTTCTCCCCTCCTTTGGAATTTGGTAGCAGACGACCTTATAAGGACCCTCAATGAAAACGGGGTTTCCGCCTTAGGTTACGCTGATGATGTTGCAATCCTTGTGGTTGGAAAGTTCCACGGAACCATAACTGACCTTATGAACAGAGCTCTAAGGGTGGTGGACCGTTGGTGTCTGGAAGTTGGGCTCTCCATTAATCCCAGGAAAGTTGTAATGGTACACAAGAAGGAGGAAACTGGATGGGATTGGATAAATGAAGGCACTGGCATTTGTCTTCCCATGGGGGTGTACCCAACTGTTTTTCAAGCAGAGGTCACTGCCATCTTGGTTTGTGTTCGAGAACATCTTAATAAAGAGAGACAAAACAATCAATATCTATACTGATAGTCAAGCAACTTTAAAACCACTTAACTCTTACGAATTCAACTCTAGGCTCGTGTGGGACTGCCTTGCTTCTGTGTCTGAGTTGGGTAGGAGAAATGATCTTACGCTCTGCTGGGTGCCAGGACACTAAGGCATAAAAGGTAATAAAGCTGCAGACAGATTGGCAAACACTGCCTCGCTGCGACAACCATGATAGGCCCACAACCCTTCTGTGGTATCTCACGAAACAGCGCATGTTCTTCGATTGCGTCATGGGCCAAAGAAAAGCACCGCAAACGCTGGGTCGACACTCCCCTTCTAAGGGTCAGCAAGCTTACTCTGTTAAAGCCCCCCACACACTACCAGACCAGACCTCCAGACCAGACCGTCTGGCTGCAACCAAACCGTCTTGGACGGCTCTACACACTCCCAGACCAGACGGTCTAACATTTGTAATTGAGAGACCGTGGTGAGAACTCCAACAAATGGATGAAGACTGTCACGATGGTCGGCCGTCTGACAGACAGCGCTACACAATCACAGACCAGACAAAAATAGTGGTCCTCAGACCTTCTGTCGTCTGAGGGTTCAACCATCAGACACGCAGACAGTCTGGTCCGAGAAAATCGGTCTGCAGACAGCCCCACATACGATAAGACAAGTGCCAGACGCCAGACCAGACGGTCTGGTCTGGAGGTCTGGTCTGGTAGTGTGTGGGGGGCTTTAGGCCTTCCAAAAAGGTTGCCTCTGACCTCTTGAGACTAGACAGACGACGAATTAAATTAATTGTAGAACTGATAACTGGTCACGGGCGATTCAGGAAACATTTACAGCGGATGTGCTTATTTGATGGTGAACCAATTTGTAGGCACTGTGATGGGTCAGAGGAGAAAGCCGATCACCTGCTCTTTGATTGTGACGAGCTCTCTGACGCTAGAATGATAACTTTTGGTAATCTGGCTAGAGGAAGATATCTTCTCGAGGATGAACTTATTGGGAAGCTACAGGCATTCATTGGACGCCTTAACTTGTAAGGTCAACAAGAAATCAATTGTCTGGGTTTTTTTTTAATATTTTTTGTATTTTTCTCAATATAGCCTAAGCACAAAAACAAATTTTTTTTATTTTTGACCAATTTTTCTTATTTTTAGTGTTACAACAGGGTGTATACTATTTTATTAAAGTGAAATTCCAGGTTTTTCCCAGGTTTTTTCCTGGTTTTTCGAAGTTTTTCCAGGTTCCCGCGTATTTGTTTGGTTCCACTTAAACTATAATCAATTTAAGACTTGCAGCTTAAGTATACAATATAAACTTACATCAAATTTGTTTCAAAGTCCAGTGAACTAGTGTTGAAAAAGTAATAATCCTTATTATAGTAATAATTTTCATTATCATCATTACTTAAGGCCACGGAAACATAGTCTCTCTCGATAGCAGCAAAATCATGAATATTATCTTCATTTTTTATGAACACATTATCAACGGCGGCAAAATCCTGAATATTTCCTGCGGTCGTGTGGTCGCTTCCCACAGTGACGTAAACGTCATCACAGTCTTACGTTATCATAGAAAAATCCTGGACATCTCCCGCAGTATGTATACATTATCGCCGTCTCTCGCGATCACGGAAACGTAATCATCGTCATCCACGATCGCGGCAAAATCACGAAAATCTTCCGCGGCCGTGTGGACATCATCATTGACTCCCACGGTCACGTAAACGTCATCGTCATCGACCGCGATCACGGCAAAATAACGAAAATGTTCCGAGGCCGTGTAGACACCATCATTGGCTCCCGCGGTCACGAGAACGTCATCGTTGTCGTGCGCGATCTTGGCAAAATCATGAATATTTCCCGCGGCAGTGTAAACATCATCGTCGTCGTCCGCGATCGCGGCTAAATCATGAACATCTGCGGCCGTGTAGACATAATCATCGTCGTCTTTCGCGGTCACGGCAAATCATGAATATTTCCTGCGGCCGTGTAGACATCATCATTGCTTCCCGCAGTCACGGAAACGCCATCGTCATCGTCCGCGATCTCGGTAAAATCATGAATCATTCCCGCGGCCGTGTCTACATCATCGTCGTCTCCCGCGGTCACGGAAACGTTATCGTCGTCGTCCACGATCTCTGCAAAATAATGAATATTTCCCGTGGCAGTGTAAACATCATCGTCGTTTCCTGCGGTCACGGAAACGTCATCGTCGTTTCCCGCGGTCACGGAAACGTCATCGTCGTCGGCCGCAATCACGGCAAAATCATGAGCATTTCACGCGGCCGTGTAGAAATCATCATCGTCGTCTTTCGCGGTCACGGCAAATCACGAAAATCTTCCGCGGCCGTGTAGATATCATCATTGCCTCTCGCAGTTATGGAAACGTCATCGCCGTCGTCCGCGATCTCGGCAAAATCATCATCTGCGGCCGTGTAAACATAATCATCGTCGTTTCTCGCGGTCACGGAAACGTCATCGTCGTCTCCCGCGGTCACAGAAACGTCATCGTCGTAGGTCGCAATCGCGGCAAAATCATGAGCATTTCACGCGGCCGTGTAGAAATCATCATCGTCATCTTTCGCGGTCACGGTAAATCATGAAAATCTTCCACGGCCATGTAGACATCATCATTGACTCCAGCGGTTAGGGAAACGTAATCGTCGAAGTACGCGATCGCGGTAAAATCATGAATATTTACTGCAGCCATGTAAACATCATCGTCGTCTCCCGCGGTCACGAAAACGTCATCGTCGTCGCCCGCAATCGCGGCAAGACGCATTTTACGACAACAAACTTCTACCAGGGCTAAAATAAAAATCCCGGAGTCGGTCCAAAAATCCCGGATTTTTCCCGGTTTTTTCCAGATCCCTTCAAATTCAAGGTTATTTCCCGGTTCTCCCGGTTTTCCCGGTTGGTATACACCCTGTATAAATAATAAATAATAGACAATTTAAAAAATCATTTAAAAAAAAAAATGCATTATTTCACTGCTATATCCCCTTAAAATTAAAATGTTTTTACTCTGTAGACAAGTTCTTGTCCTTGGAGGTTTTAGATATAAGTTTTTAAATAATTTAAGATCAAGGTTCCTGTTATTTATTCTATGACTATGTTCAATATGCTTTAATGATAAGATACCATTTGACAATGTCAATTGCTTTTGTAGAGCTGAAAGACAACAAAGAGATTTGATTTGATTCCCGACTTTCCCGTTTTTCCCGACTACTAGACACCCTATATCTTTAAAATAGATTCTACTATTTTAAATTAAAAACCCTTTTTAGCACACAGGCTACCAAAGACTGTTCAGGTTTTTTAAATAACAAAGTACTACAACACAAATTTACAGTGTCCGGAATCTAGATTTTACTAATAGTAATAAGATTACAGTAACAGTTACTTTTAGGAATGGAAGATTGTTATAGCAGTAGTAGTATATTAGTATAAATTATCTGAAAGGATTTTCTGCAAGTAAATAAAGTAAGTACTGTAAGTAAAAAGTTTATTACGCATTGCATGAAAATATAGCGAATGAAGATAAGGTAAATGAAACAATTTTACTTACTTTTAAAGCAGATGCCAATAGCTTTTCTTGTTCTTCTCTATTCTGTTTTGTTTTGGCAATATTGATCATTTCATTGGCCTGTAATGGATTCAAGGTTTTTTTAGTTTGAGATACAAAACCACTGGCTTATTTTGAGTAGGAAACCCGAGTGAAAAAGCGCTTAACTACAAAATAATTAACTAGACTAGATGAATCCAAGATATCAAATACAAAAGCTTTCTATATCTTGCTCACAAAATACTGTGTTGAATTACTTACATACACAAAAGATCTGTAACACAATATGAATATTTAGATAAAATAAAACATTCCTGAGGTAGCCCATATAAAAATTTAAGATTAGAGCTGAAAAGGTGGCATTCACAGAACTGGTCAGTCTACCTACAACCGCTGCCGTGCCGTGTCATGATAGCGCTATCGTGTTATTTCGTGTTTAAATGTTTCGTGTTCCGTGTTTTGTTATATGTTTAAATTATTTGATGTTTTTGACAAAAAGCTCCGACGATGTTGCATTGCAACGAAACATGTAAGCTTTGAACAACATTAGTTGAAATAGAACACAATTTTGGGCTACTGACGGAGGTAAGCCTATATAAGTCATTATTCGTAGTCCAGGGGCTATCAGAATGAATAGTATTTACACTTTAACTTACTTATTTATAAGATTAGACTCATCAGTGGAATTCATTAGTTCTTCATGTCAAATATAAGCTAATAAACTATAAAATATGGGATTATAACTATTATAACATCAAGTCTAGTACAATGGCTCAGCTTTAAAAAATTACAATACTGTAGTAGTGTTTTTTTAGGCCTACAATGGTTTTCAATGACTTGAGACGACAGGGTTGTGCACAAAATGTTGTGCAAATAGCACCAATACGTGAACATCATAAAATGTTATTATGTAATTTGTAATATGTTTTATTACATATTTTAGACTGTATTTTATAATATCATGGAAATTGTACATATGTAGGCCTATGTTTGTTTTTTTAAATTCTCCTAAAAATTTAAAACCACGAGCAATGCTCGGTCCCCTGGTACTGGACTAGAAATGAGATACATAACACCATGTACCTTAGTGCAAGCAGCATCTTCACTGCGGTAGAGTTTTGGACAAGTGTTCCTTAGTTTGATACTAATTGGATCTATTGACGTGTTATCATTCAAATACCTGCAACAGAACAAGATTTTTACAAAGTATAAGCTAAACTCAAACTACGGATTCGGACATTGCCCGAAATGTTTACCCACTCCGCGATGTGGACAGTGTGAAATACCCACGTCGGTGAGGGAGCATTTTATTTGGACATTAGCCGAAGCGAAATGCCCACACCGCGTTGTGGGTTTACTCAAATGCTGAAGTCAAAACGTTATTCGGCAATTGAGCAAATCCAAAATACCCACAATGCGATGTGAGCAAAGGAGATAGCCCATGTCAGGTGGTGGGTATTTCTACTTTGCGCAAACACCGAATTCTAGTTCTCACAGGACATCCAAAATGAAGACCTAGATAGAGAGCGATTAGACCTAACTTTGAGCGCTTTTTGCTCAAGACAATCTGCTATTGATGAAACACAGGAAAACTGTGTAATTTCCTCAAAAATCCAGACAGAAAAAATGTTAAGGAACACCGAAAGATAATTAACCCCTGTTTCAGTCGGAGGCAACGTGATGTGCAGTATTGCTAATGTTGACCGACTAGCTCCTAGAACTGTAGGCCCAATATTTTAATTCAGGACAATTTAAGTCCCTGTTATTTTACAAGAACATCAATCTATATATTTAATACACGGTTGTAACACTGTTTTCTCAGTAATTTTGAGCAGCAGTTTGAGCCGCGCCGACTTGAAATACGTGAGCTTGCCTAACACAAAAGTTTACTTTATTAAAATTATTTCATTCTTTTTAGAGCGTTTTGAAGTCGGTTGTATTTTTTACAAAAATAAATTATTTCATGATTTTTAGTGACTGTATAACTTTTTATATATTAATTACTTGAGGTTTTTTGATAAGCAAAACTGTTTGAAACAATCAAAAGTTCCACAGAACAATCATTATTTTAAAACTGCTTGAGTCACCTGTTCATGTTACATAATCAATGGGTATGAAAATAAACATTTTTAGATATTCCTTAAGAAAGAAAGAGTTGTCCATTACATTAGGCCTAATGAAAAACTAATTGTCTTTCTAGATACATTGAAATGTCCAGACATCATCGTTTCCTACAATCGGTGTACTTCTACATTATAAAAAGAAATACAGTAACGTCTCAAGCCTTTTGGAACAATATGAAAGTTATTCCTCAGCCACCAGCACTAAAAAATCTCTCAAAAGTGGAAAATTGGTCGTTAACACGTATAGTACCTTTGGAAAATATTATATGAAAGATTGGTTCAGCTATAAGTGGTGTAAGTCATGTAGGGGGTTTTGTTTGCTCAAGATATAGCCTAGTCGAAATTGCAAATCATCTTCCTCTAGGACTTTTCGAAGCAGGCATAATAGTATTGATATGTTATAGTAACTGGGTAGAGAATATTAATAAACATTCCACATCTGCAAATGAAATATGTATATGAAAGATTGGTTCAGCTAAAAGTGGTGCAAGCCATGTAGGTGGTTTTGTTTGATCAAGATATAGTCTAGTCGAAATTGCAAATCATCTTCCTCTAGGACTTTCCGAAGCAGGCATAATAGTATTGATATGATATAGTAACTGGGTAGAGAATATCAATAAACATTCCACATCTGCAAATGCATGTTTAGTAATTAAAATATTTAACACTTTTAAGACAATTGACGATTATGCACTGTCACACTTCTTAGGTCGTGTAAGGAATAATTGCATTTAATTTATATTTAGACCTGTTTTACGAATGCTTTGGTTTTCACAATACAATTATTTGTCAATATCATACAGCTATTTACTGAAACATATATGTTTTTGTAAGTCAGAATATTCAATACTAAAAACAGAATTACTGTATACACAAATCAGGTCAAACGTTAAAATACATTTTTTATAGTAACTAAAACAAAATGCAATTTTCTCAATGTAATTCATTTAGGCTCCATGGCAAGAAATAGTTTATTGATCAATATGAAGCAACTGTTTCATGAAGAATTGTCTGTAGCTTCATTTAAATGGTTTCAACTAACAGCTGTAGGAATGTTATTATTATTTATTGCCTTATCTGCACAAATGTAAACAAAATAAATGTTGAATATTTAAGGTTTTCAGAATTTTTAACCGAAACAAATATTATACTTAAACATAATATAGGCCTATAAGGTACCAAATAGAAACTCTCCTGGTTATTTTGGTGGTGGAACCACACTGATTGGTAAAAGAATCACAGAGAAATTGGTGAACATACATAGAAAAAAAAAACATCGCCACAAACAAATTGAGAACCTCCTCCTTTTGTTGGTAGTGGGGAAGTCGGTTAAAAAAAGACCAATTATCAAATCTTGTATCTTCGCCGTATCTAAAAAAATATAGAATGATCAACCAAGCCAAAAAACTTGTGTTGTATAAAGTATACAGGAAGGATCTAATGGGACAAAACACCAAGCGAGGAAGGAAAAATCATCCCCTCTCACACCTAGTAAAACAATTCCTCGAAGAAGATATCAACAGCAAAATGTGTCCTGCTAAAAGAGAGTGAAAATAACGCTCAACATTGACAATCAAAGCGCAATGAAAATGATTCAATCTGGTCAAATGAACTGCAGAAGCAAACATATTGATGTACCCTATTACTTCATAAGTGGACAATTTCATGACGGTCTCTTTGCACTCCAATACTGTAGGTCTGATGAACAGTTGGGGGACATTTTCACAGAAACTCTTACTTACCCTAAATTTCAAAAGTTCAGAGAAACCCTTATTAAAAGTTTAGCCTAACTTTGAGTTTAAACTTACAGATATAAGTTAATAAGGTAGGCAATGAACTGTAAATATAATGTAAATATTATTCATGAAATGAAATAGACAATAAATAGAGAATCTAATAATAACAATGTATTTTCAAAATATTCCCAATGATAACTATTGTTACTTTATAAACTTTATCATTTATTTATTTTATTAATTTTGTAAAACACAAACAATATTTTACTTAGCTAGCAGATAAAATTGGGAAAAATCTAGCTTTGAGAAACTTGTAAATGAAATAGACAAAAATATTTTATTCTTAAGGGGGAGTGTGGGAAAATAAATTAGAAAATAAAACTCTTCAGAGCATTCTACAACTTACTTATATCTTTAATATATAAAAGAAAGTTGTGTTAGTTACAGTGTTTATAACTAGAAAACTACTGAACCAATTGGCATGACAATTTACAGGGATATTCCTTAGGTACTAGAATAACATAATAGCCTGTTTCCGTTTCAAAAACCCTTAACACGTTGAGTGCGGGCATCATCAATAGATGATGTCCGACACTAGCACTGGTGGCGGACATCAGCTAAAGCTGACGTCATGCCACTCTCTCCACATTAGTTTAGTGTGAGCTCAGCCTTTGCCGGGGAACGTTATAATCGTTGCCAGCCTGTAGCTTAGATTATGTAGCTTTAGTCTGGTGTAGGTTGGTACTAAAATTTCCCGTAAAATCCCGTCTAGCAATACTTTCGTCCCGGTTCCGGCAATTTTCTCTTTTCCAGCCACTTTACAAAGACACTGGCTACGAATCCAGGCAGTGCTGCTACCTTTGGGTGTTTCAGTGAACTACGTCCACTCTCGGGCTAACACAGCACAATCACCGCTGCTCTTTTTTTATTCGTCAGACTGAAATATTTGAATGCCAATTGCGTTCACCGATTCAGTTGCGCGCTGCGGGGCTTCGCCCGGGCCTCGCCGCCATTATCGAGCGCCTGTTTGAAGGTATTCCGCACTGAACGTGTTAAGGGAAGCGTCCTATGGCCCTTTGCAGTTTACATGTTAATCTTATGGAAGAATGTTTTATTTTGTTTACCATGCCATGTTTGTCATTTCTTGATTAAATAAAATTAAGGAAACAGCTGTTGTAATGATAACCTAATTTTTAAAAACAAATCTATGCATAACAAATGAGAGCTATCAAATAGGTTTCTATTCCATTTGTTTTTTTACGAATATTTGTTGTCAAATGTAACTGAAGGCAAGTGAGCACAGCGAACGAGCTCCAACCTAAAGGTGAGTGAGCGTAGCAAACGAACTTCAGCCAGGACGTGATTGAGCCATGCGAACGAGCTCATCTTGAAAATGAACGAGCATTTGACATAAAACCACATTAGGACAGGACGACATCTGTCAGGCCAGCTAGTTTCACATACATCGAAAATCAGAACAACAAAACAAAAAGAACCTTCTTTTTTCACCTTTCAAACATTCATTGAACTCTACCAATCATTAGTCACCATGACAACCAAAATATCCAAAAATGTAAACACAAGCAAACTATTAGTCAGCTGATGCTAGTTCACAACTACACCCTCACCCTCAAGGTGCCGAAACAACTTCCACTTACAGTTTTACTTTCAACTACTTTTCGCACATCTGCTATGTGATGAGGCCTTCCATTAACTTCAACACTCGTTGGCGAAAACTGTACAGTAACCTCCTTCTTTCCATCTCGAAGTACAGGATGGGTTTGGCGGCTTGAAAAACACACGATTGCCTACTGTAAAATGTGATCCTTCATACACTTCACTTTTTGTAGGTTCTCCTTTACATCGCCATTGGTATGAAAAAATCCGGAAACTCGGCGATGAATCGCCATCTAATCCTTCTTTAGGCGTCAAATTGTACCAATAGACCATTTCTTGGATACTCCCCTTAGTTCTTGCGGCCATACGCTTGATTGTTCTGTGGTTTCGCTCAACTATCCCGTTTCCACTTGGTTGGTTGACACGCCTAAACACAATTTTAACACCCCATTTATCACAGAGCTGAGTAATCTCTTCACATAGGAATGTTGCACTATTGTCCATCAAAATCTCATATGGTGGCCCTCGATCAGTAAACAATTCCAGTAACACTTTAGAAATCTGATCTTTTGTCTCTTTGGGGATCCGGCGCCAAATGCAGAACCTACTTGGACCACAGTCCATAATGGTCATGAACTTGCTTTGACCATAGTGTGTTACGTCAATGGCAAGCCTGTACCAATTGTTCTGGCAATCCAAATACC